TACTACTACTACTACTACTACTACTACTACTACTACTACTACTACTACTACTACTACTACTACTACTACTACTACTACTACTACTACTACTACTACTACTACTACTACTACTACTACTACTACTACTACTACTACTACTACTACTACTACTACTACTACTACTACTACTACTACTACTACTACTACTACTACTACTACTACTACTACTACTACTACTACTACTACTACTACTACTACTACTACTACTACTACTACTACTACTACTACTACTACTACTACTACTACTACTACTACTACTACTACTACTACTACTACTACTACTACTACTACTACTACTACTACTACTACTACTACTACTACTACTACTACTACTACTACTACTACTACTACTACTACTACTACTACTACTACTACTACTACTACTACTACTACTACTACTACTACTACTACTACTACTACTACTACTACTACTACTACTACTACTACTACTACTACTACTACTACTACTACTACTACTACTACTACTACTACTACTACTACTACTACTACTACTACTACTACTACTACTACTACTACTACTACTACTACTACTACTACTACTACTACTACTACTACTACTACTACTACTACTACTACTACTACTACTACTACTACTACTACTACTACTACTACTACTACTACTACTACTACTACTACTACTACTACTACTACTACTACTACTACTACTACTACTACTACTACTACTACTACTACTACTACTACTACTACTACTACTACTACTACTACTACTACTACTACTACTACTACTACTACTACTACTACTACTACTACTACTACTACTACTACTACTACTACTACTACTACTACTACTATTACTAATACCTTACTAGGCTGATCAGACCGGTCGAACGTCATTCGTTCAATACAGTGCAAGAGTCTATAAATCGTATTGCGATTGGCGAATACATTACGTGATAGCTAACCGGACTTAGTCACAGCGCATATGACCGGTGAACTTTATATATAAATAATTTATCCACTCATTTATCTATTTAATATTAGCGTTTCGGTTATCATGTAATCATGCAATCTACAGTTCTGACTGTATATTCTGTCTGATGGATAGTGGCTAGCAGTGGAATCCAGGACGAGCGTTTCGTCCTATTTGGGACTCGTCAGCTCTATGTACCTGCATTCCAGAGAGTTGATGTTCACTCTAGAACTCGAATTAAGGTAATATCAAGGCATACGCACAGTATGCACATATGCCATTAACAGACTGACCAATTGCAGTGTTAAACCTCAATGGGAAGTTACAAGCCAAACAATAACAAGTTTATATTCTGTCTGTTATATTTTTATTCAGCCGTTAACCCAACTTATGAATGAAGATACTTAACGGTTCATGCTCATTACACATTTGGAAGTATAAATAAATGTTTTATAAGTCTGTTGTCTACGTGAAGACACTATTATGTAATATTACTTAATTCGTTTTTGATGTAGAAGTTCCGAAAAGTTTCTACTTAAATACTTTATGATAGTCTATCCCAAAACGTAAGATAAAATTAATATCACATTGAAAACAATTTTGTTTACTAACAGGTAACCTAATAGTAAACTTAAATTACTGACACCTAATAAACTGGCCAATAGCATATTCCGATGATTAACATTCGTCACAATACGGGCATTTCGGCGATAGTTTGAATATCACGGTTGGTATCTCGAAATGACCTTAAGCAAACAATCATTGTATATTAGGAAGTATTAGACAACTATTTCGTCTAGCACAAAACTCTTGAGAAGTAGGCATCCACGATTTCAGTATCAATGAACCAACGCTTGACCTTGAATCCTATGTGTTTACAGGACAAGCTTTCAAGAGCGAGACTGAAGACACGCTATCGATAATAGATGATAGATTGCGGATTCTCACTACTGAAGTGTACCATACCGAAGACAAACCGCCTAACAAAACTTTACGAGTCTTCAATAGCCGTTTAAAAAGGATGCATGTGTGATCTTGCCTAGAAAATTATCAACATGATAAATTGTGTGAAAAAACTATTCTTAATATATTGTAAACGTAATTAAACTTATCAAACAGCCACTACTACTGTTACGAAGATCGATTGGAGAACGGAAATACTAAAAGCATATATATATATATATATATATATATATATATATATATATATATATATATATATATATATATATATAGGTAGATAGATAGATAGATAGATAGATAGATAGATAGATAGATAGATAGATAGATAGATAGATATAGATATAAAACTTTTCTTGAAGTTGCTTAATTTGGAGTCGATTATTACCACAGTCTGAATTCAGATGTCTAATATCCGCTAAAGCTCTTCACTTTGTTGCCAATCCTTAATAATAATAATAAATAAACCATGTTTCAGGTGATTTATGAAAATTAAAACCATCGTTTACTGAAAACCTATGTGAACTACATGTAACGGATTTAATCAAAATGTTCATAATAACATTGTAAAAACTCAATAAATTATAATAGTTTTTTTGCAAGTTATCTTCCATCAAAAATTAAGATAAATTAAAGAACCATCAAAGAATAAAGGATATTAAACAATTAGTTCATCTTAGTTTTATGACTCTTCACAAAAAACAGTAAATCAATGACCTCATATAAGGATCGTACAATGAATGTTTTAAACAGAGCTCTATCTGTTTAATTATACTATGAAACCTTATCACTTTAATTGTCTGAGATATGTTATTGATGGGGTTTTGTTCTCTGAGCTGGATGGTTTGATCTTGGAGCTTTCATTGTTCTTCTGAATGATATCATCAGTACAAATTTCAGATAGAAGTGAAGTGTTCAAATTTCTCCATATGTGTTTCACAGCTTGTTCTGTGCACCTCGATGTTGATTGATTCTTATTGATCCTAAATTTATCATTGTTTACTTCTTTGTTTTGGTTTTGTCTTCAATTGGTTTGATTTTTGTTCCTATATTTGTGCATGATTTCCCTGATTGGTTGATAAATTGGATTGATTTCAATATGCTTGTTGATTGCTGATTGACCTGAGTGCCAGGCTTCTAAAAATTCTCTGGTGTTTTTGGAGTTTCCTCTGTCTAAGATTTCTACATTTTTCCAATCGAATGAGTGTCCGTAGTTGTCCACGTGTATTGATATTGAGATATGTTACCTATGATCATCAACTGTATACATCGACATCCTTTGATTTATCAATTATCTTAAAATAAGTTTCTTTTCTAAGTGAATTACTGAGCAAGTTCAGAATCTCACTTCCAAGTAAATTCATTTTAAGCATACAATTTAAAATAAATAGCCTAACCAGTTTTTATACTTGTCAATTAAATATTACTTACTTAATTACTTACGCCTGTTACTCCTAATGGAGCATAGGCCTCCGACCAGCATTCTCCAACCCACTCTGTCCTGGGCCTTCTTTTCTAGTTCCATCCAATTCTTGTTCATTTCTCTCATGTCTATCTCCATTTCCTAGCGTAATGTGCTCTTTGGTCTTCCGCTTTTCCTTTGACCTTCAGGATTCCATGTGAGGGCTTGTCTTGTGACACAGTGGGGTGGTTTCCTCAATGTGTGTCCTATCCACTTCCAGTGCTTCTTCTTAATTTCTTCCTCCTCTGGGATCTGGTTTGTTCTTTCCCACAGTTGATTGTTGTTGATAGTGTCCGGCCAACGGATCCGAAGTATTTTGCGTAGATAACTGTTAATAAACATCTGTATCTTCTGGATGATGGCTTTCGTAGTTCTCCAGGTTTCTACCCCATACAGTAGAACTGTCTTGACATTTGTATCAAAAATCCTGACCTTGGTGTTGGTTGACAGTTGTTTTGAGTTCCAGATGTTCCTCAGTTGTAAATATGCTGCTCTTGCTTTACCGATCCGCGCCTTCACATCTGCATCAGATCCACCCTGTTCATCAATGATGCTGCCCAAATACGTAAATGTTTTTACATCTTCCAAATCTTCTACGTCAATTGTGATTGGATTGGTGCATTCTGTGTTGTATCGGAGAATCCTGCTTTTCCCTTTGTGTATATTGAGACCTACTTCTGCTGAGGCTGCTGCCACACTGTTCGTCTTCTCCTGCATCTGCTGTTGCGTTTGGGATAGAACGGCCAGATCATCTACGAAGTCTAGATCATCCAACTGCATCTTAGATGTCCATTGTATCCCGCGCTTCCCTTCAGACGTTGACGTCTTCATGATCCAGTCGATCACCAGGAGAAAGAGAAAGGGTGAGAGTAAGCAACCTTGTCTGACACAGGTGTTTGCTTCGAACGAGTCTATGAACTTTCCTCCATGCACGAGTTCGCAGTTTAATCCATCACAGGAATTCTGTATGATATTGATTATATTTGCTTATTAATTACTTACGACTGTAATCCTTTTAGATGAGTATAGGCTGCCAAAAAGCATTTTTTTATTGAACTCTGTTCTGGACAATCTTTCCAGTTGTTATGAATTGAAATGCGGTTTTTTATTACATAATTTATTCGCCAATTGAAATACGATTTATACACTCTTATAGTGTACTAAACCAATGACGTTCGACCGGTCTGATCAGCCTAGCGTCCTTATTGGCCATATGTTCACCTAGCCCGCACAATTGAGTTCAGAACGCTAATAACAGCTTCCAATATGCGAATCATTTATTTCAGATATACTTGGTTTATATATAAGACAGACAGACCGCAGCGTACCATTTCCTATTTGGAAACAACAGTTATACAAAACAAAGCCAAATGTGGCTGTGAACGAGGGTATAGTTTAAGAATAGTAAATGGTATAATAGTAATCTATAGGTCAAAATAAAGCTTATAATAGGGAGAATATAAATATACATAATAGAATTACTCAACAGATCTACGATATGAACATATATATAGATAATATTAGTCCATTAATAGATCTCAGAATTTACTCGTAATTTAATCATCAAAAAGATAAAACACATATGTTTTATGAGTTCAAAAAAATTGCACGTGGTTTATAACTATATTTACTTTCTAAGAATAAAGCTTCCCGTATTGTTTTTGTTTTATTTTGCACTACCAGTTGATCAAATATTACTAAGGTAGTAGTCGTAGTAGTGATAGAAGTCGTAGGTGTAGTACTAAAAGTAGTAATAGTAGTAGTAGTAGTAGTAGTAGTAGTAGTAGTAGTAGTAGTAGTAGTAGTAGTAGTAGTAGTAGTAGTAGTAGTAGTAGTAGTAGTAGTAGTAGTAGTAGTAGTAGTAGTAGTAGTAGTAGTAGTAGTAGTAGTAGTAGTAGTAGTAGTAGTAGTAGTAGTAGTAGTAGTAGTAGTAGTAGTAGTAGTAGTAGTAGTAGTAGTAGTAGTAGTAGTAGTAGTAGTAGTAGTAGTAGTAGTAGTAGTAGTAGTAGTAGTAGTAGTAGTAGTAGTAGTAGTAGTAGTAGTAGTAGTAGTAGTAGTAGTAGTAGTAGTAGTAGTAGTAGTAGTAGTAGTAGTAGTAGTAGTAGTAGTAGTAGTAGTAGTAGTAGTAGTAGTAGTAGTAGTAGTAGTAGTAGTAGTAGTAGTAGTAGTAGTAGTAGTAGTAGTAGTAGTAGTAGTAGTAGTAGTAGTAGTAGTAGTAGTAGTAGTAGTAGTAGTAGTAGTAGTAGTAGTAGTAGTAGTAGTAGTAGTAGTAGTAGTAGTAGTAGTAGTAGTAGTAGTAGTAGTAGTAGTAGTAGTAGTAGTAGTAGTAGTAGTAGTAGTAGTAGTAGTAGTAGTAGTAGTAGTAGTAGTAGTAGTAGTAGTAGTAGTAGTAGTAGTAGTAGTAGTAGTAGTAGTAGTAGTAGTAGTAGTAGTAGTAGTAGTAGTAGTAGTAGTAGTAGTAGTAGTAGTAGTAGTAGTAGTAGTAGTAGTAGTAGTAGTAGTAGTAGTAGTAGTAGTAGTAGTAGTAGTAGTAGTAGTAGTAGTAGTAGTAGTAGTAGTAGTAGTAGTAGTAGTAGTAGTAGTAGTAGTAGTAGTAGTAGTAGTAGTAGTAGTAGTAGTAGTAGTAGTAGTAGTAGTAGTAGTAGTAGTAGTAGTAGTAGTAGTAGTAGTAGTAGTAGTAGTAGTAGTAGTAGTAGTAGTAGTAGTAGTAGTAGTAGTAGTAGTAGTAGTAGTAGTAGTAGTAGTAGTAGTAGTAGTAGTAGTAGTAGTAGTAGTAGTAGTAGTAGTAGTAGTAGTAGTAGTAGTAGTAGTAGTAGTAGTAGTAGTAGTAGTAGTAGTAGTAGTAGTAGTAGTAGTAGTAGTAGTAGTAGTAGTAGTAGTAGTAGTAGTAGTAGTAGTAGTAGTAGTAGTAGTAGTAGTAGTAGTAGTAGTAGTAGTAGTAGTAGTAGTAGTAGTAGTAGTAGTAGTAGTAGTAGTAGTAGTAGTAGTAGTAGTAGTAGTAGTAGTAGTAGTAGTAGTAGTAGTAGTAGTAGTAGTAGTAGTAGTAGTAGTAGTAGTAGTAGTAGTAGTAGTAGTAGTAGTAGTAGTAGTAGTAGTAGTAGTAGTAGTAGTAGTAGTAGTAGTAGTAGTAGTAGTAGTAGTAGTAGTAGTAGTAGTAGTAGTAGTAGTAGTAGTAGTAGTAGTAGTAGTAGTAGTAGTAGTAGTAGTAGTAGTAGTAGTAGTAGTAGTAGTAGTAGTAGTAGTAGTAGTAGTAGTAGTAGTAGTAGTAGTAGTAGTAGTAGTAGTAGTAGTAGTAGTAGTAGTAGTAGTAGTAGTAGTAGTAGTAGTAGTAGTAGTAGTAGTAGTAGTAGTAGTAGTAGTAGTAGTAGTAGTAGTAGTAGTAGTAGTAGTAGTAGTAGTAGTAGTAGTAGTAGTAGTAGTAGTAGTAGTAGTAGTAGTAGTAGTAGTAGTAGTAGTAGTAGTAGTAGTAGTAGTAGTAGTAGTAGTAGTAGTAGTAGTAGTAGTAGTAGTAGTAGTAGTAGTAGTAGTAGTAGTAGTAGTAGTAGTAGTAGTAGTAGTAGAATTGATTTTCAAGCTTTATGATTTAATAGAATATAATGACTCTTGTTATGTATTGAATTTATGTGGTTCAGCAATAACAAGTTATAGTTGTGCAGCATCTACATATAACTGTCATATATTTTTTTATATTGTAAATTAGTGTAGAGGAAAAGAATGTTCATTCATTATTACAAGTGGTCTGAACAGATTCACTTTTATTTATATTAGCATTTAAGTTTGTTTAGTCATTGAGATAGAATTCACTTAGAATTGAAGAACTGTACTGCTTCATTCACTTTGATAACCAATAGTACTGTGGTGTGTACTACTTGTATCGACATAAGTAGTATATGACGTCAGTCAGGAACAGAATGTCTGGCAGCAGAGAGACAAGAGGATCGAACAGTACAGAGTGAGAACAGGATGCAATTTGTATGAAAATGCAAGAACAATGAAGTGTGGGCCATTTCGAGACAATAGATGGACATTTTGCAAATTGAGCGTTTACTATATGATTGTTTGATTTTATCAACAAGTTGTTCATCCTCACCTGTGTTCTTTTGCACTACAGTACTACAGTTTCTAATCCAATGATTGGAATATTCTTTGACATAGAGGTAATAAGTTGTATTGGACGCTAATCGTAATGTTTGTTGTATGTCGTTCATGATCAACTTCGTTAAGTGACATAACCAGAACTTAGTCTTTCCAGATGAACAACTGGGTGATAGGTTGATGAGAAATCGAGACAATTTCTAGCCACAAATATAAAGAACTACCATTCAGGTTTCCTATAGATTACTTCCAAACACTCAGCATTGAAACCTCTTGTCCGAGATTCTTTTATTTAATGAATGGCTACTAAAACCATTTTTCTTAATCTACCATTCAATGTAAAAATTGCCTCTTATATAATAAACTACGGAATAAAATTCCACAAATGTTTAGCGAGAAGTCATTATTAACAGGAGTTCTATCATGTTCAGAGTTTACGTAGTTATCAGTGGACGTAATTCGCTTGTCATCCTATGGTGGAAGTTGTTTAAAGTTGAAAATGCAGGCTAATAAATTGTGATATGAATTCACTTGATGCTGTTTTATTTGTATCTTCCTAAATAACAGTGGGAAGATACAAGTAAAACAACAATAAGTGAATTTAAACTTCACCCCATTGCACAAGCAAGTGGCTATCAGGACTCAGTAGCTGAGTGGATCACGCGATGGCGTTTGAAGCGGACGGTACTGGGTTCTAGTCGTAGAGTGACTATCAACTGTGACATGCCGGAATATCCAGCTGACGACTCGCAAGTAGGACAAAACGTGTGTCCTGGATTCCACTGCTAGCCACGATCCATGTTTATTTAAAGATTCTGACATGTTTTGAAATATTGTAAATCCCCTTAAGCTTATTGGAGCGTAAACTGGTCAGAACCGAGCTGGGATCAAACAACTGCACAATACTCTATAGTTTTCAATACATTATTAGCAAGCTTTCGAATCATGGTGTTGCTGATAGAGTAAAGCCTGATGACGATCTAATTGAAAACAATTGTTCGCTTATATGTTTTGTTCTATTTTTATACTACTTAATAATATTCAGTAAATAGTTGTGTTCCTAGCAATTTCTACGCGCATGTTGTAACGCACGTTGTTCGTGTATTATTCTAAAATATTTACATAAATATATAACATTTATTGTATTCATCATTATAATTATTTTCCCTCAATCCTAGGAGCAGTTATTCTCATTTCGTATGGTCGCTTAACTTTGCTTAAACACAGTGGTTTCCATGTTTGTTTGCCTTTAGTTTAGTTTTTGCATGTTGATAGACTGTTATCAAGATTATACACATCTATCAACTCTTACTTACACTATCGTATGTCATAATTATTCTTTACTTTATTATTTCAGTAAAGATCTTTATCTTTCAGATTTACAGATACGCTAAGTACCATGGTTGAATTTCGTAACTCATTTATGTTTATTACTCAATAAACAAAAACAAAAATGCTTCAACCCATATCTTCATATCAACTTTTATAATTATTCGTCGTATCGATAAATCTCTTTCAGATATAAAGAAGAACTAAAGCCAATGGCAAATGGGCTTAATACAACAAAATAACTGAACATTCTCTCATCTTGCTAGGTCAAACTGAATAGGAATAATGTTAAGCAGACAACAGAGTAATTCATACTGTTTCTAAAAAAAGTGTCTTTTTCAGGTCAACCTGAAGGCTTCTTCTATGGTGACTATGTTCGTATTTGTGTTTACGTGCATGTGTGTGCATAAAAAAACAGGCTCAGTTCAATTCTGCATCAATGATGGAACAAGTATTAACTTATATGAATATGAAATGTCAAAAGAAAACCTGTAGTCAGTCTGCATTAGAAATAGAGGACAGTAACACAGAAATACACAAATACAGGCACGACTAACGAATAACTTCAGTCAAGAATGGACAGAAATAAACAGTAAGGAATAGTAATAATAATTTAATTCAAGCGATGTAATAACCATTTTGCTGTCTATGTGGTCGAGTGTGATAGAAAGAGGTGAACAATTTCTCTGAGATTAAGCCGATGAACCACGCTAAAAAATGAAGAACAACTCTAAAGAAACCGAAGTGAGTCGTCATAAAATGATGAGAAACATCGTATAATCTTAAGGAAAATTCCTGTTGCCTTTATTATTCTTACTGTAGGGTGGTAAATGATCACAAGAGCGAAGACGGGCTTGAGAATGATGTTCCTCCACTTTTTTAATACAATAATAGTTGGACCTGAAAAGGATTAGACTGGAAAAGAACAATAAGAATGAACCAGAAGAAAAAAATGGTTGGACCGATTTAGGAAGATACAGTGTTTCACAATGGGAATCTTTAATAGTATAAAAATAAACAAAAAGAATGACTGGTGAAGTGGCGTCATGAAAGGTCAAAATTCAACTTTTCTACTCATTGGGTTAAAACAAAAATATATTTATTATTAACTTTCTATTCAGTGCTCAGTTTGTTAAGAAACTATCAAGTCCCATCTTGGTATTGATACATACAAACAAAGAGGAGTTTTGGCGGAAAGAGAGTAAGGATACAGAACGAAATAAGCTTGACACCGCCTCCCAAAGACAGCATCTCTTTCCTTATTCTTACTGACTACACATTTAGTTTAAAGACATTCAGAGACGACAATGATGCAAGTTACTCTAGCTGTAGTCGCTCCGGGAATTTATTCTACGCCACACTACTCAATGTCCTGTCGACAAGTTTATAAATTATTTTGAGTCTGAGATGTTTGTTATAGAAGCCAAGGTATAACTTTTTCCAAAGTGATGATCTAGTGTTTTGTGTAAACAAAGAATGAGTTTTCGTTTGGCTAGCGTTATGTATTTTACTCGGTGGCTCACCCGTCTGTATGAGGCAGTCGGACTCACATTACTATGTCTACTATCATTTCCATGCACGCATCCGTATTTCCCTTTTGTCCACATATATAGGCCTTGCCTACTTAATTTAAACCAACTCATCACTCTTCTTATTTTTTCATATCGAACGACGGTATCAAGTCCTACGAGAAATTATTGAAAGCATAAGACAGCCCTCGAAGTCATTTAAAGTTGACTTATGAGTTGGTATGTTAGTGGTTTGAAGAACAAATTTCCAGCTGTTAATATGAAAAGATTCTGATCAGTGGATAATATCCAGTGATACGATGTGGCCGAATGATGGCTATTCAAGACCAAATTATTAACGTAAGTCTCTGTATAACTTGAGATAAAAGACAAGACCTAGTCTGATAATCCCTGATGTTTGACGTAATTTCGACAGGAATTCAAAAATTCCTGTTGGCTAATGTCAACTTATGTCTCTTGAGATGTAGTTAAGATATCCATCTACCAACTGAGGGACGAGTTGACTGCGCAGTAGTTCTGTACATCCTACTTTGTGAAGGATGGCCATTAAAAGTAGATGATATTCATAGGTTACTAGTATTCGGTCATAGGTGTCTTCGTGTGCTTTAGGACAATTGAGTTGGGGATTCGGATGTTAGACGCAGAGTACTAGGTAACGATGGCAAATCAACTGGCGATGTGATGAACATTTGCCGACTGAGACAATTCGAACACGTATTGCATATGCCCATTCACTGACTTCCACGACGTGCGATGATGTCTGGTGTAGGAATAGGTCGGAAGAAAGATGGGGCGACCGAACCAAGACATGACATCAATCTACGAAGGCACCAACTGTTGAACTGAGCAATGTGGGTGGGTGTATTGTCTGGTTGAGGTACATGCAATTATTGTAACCAATTGTAAGAGGATGAGTAACATGACTCAAAATCGTTCATAATGACTCAAGTGCGCTCACTCTTTGTCTCTCCTTAGATAATAAATTTCTAATTTCCTTAAAAACTTATTTCACTAAATGATATTTTCGTCTCGAACTGTATTTTCGATGCCTATCCTTTTCTATTTCGACTTGTACTGTTGATACCTGTACTACTATAGGATTCTCCCGGACAATTATATCTCGTTGCGCAATGGGATGTAGCAACATGTACCAGGTCCAACGTTATTAATGACCGATTGAATGATCAGCTTCCTCAAAATTGCAATACACCCTATCTGTGAAAGCCAGTGGGTACGAAATCTTGTTACAGGTTATCTTGTTGATTATTCTATACATTTACAGGTGAAACTTATTTTAAGCTGAATTCAAAGATTAGAGTTTCCAAAGTGAATATAGTTAGGAACTTACTCAATGTTTACCACATATTATGAACTTCGATCTAATTAAATCCAAACATTTATTAACAGACTTATGTAATCTAATTTCTGTAACTTAATAAACAATTTTAATTTATATAATCCTGTGATACACTTAAACAACTTTGAGCGGATATTAATAGTTTTCATAATATTTATATTTAATAATGTCAGCGTTAGTGATTTGTGTATCACATAAATCGTTCGATTTATGTGATGGCTGAGATACTACCCGGGTGCCCAAACCGAACCAGGTAGTTTTCGTAGAGGGTCACACCCAGAGTCTTTGATCTAAAAGTCTAATCCACAAGGCAGTGGGGCAATGTCAGGAGATTCAGTCCCATGGTAGCCGGTGACCAACGATTGGTTCATACGTCAATTTGTTTTTCCTTTGGATCCTGGAGCCCATGTACTTCATTGGTTTGGAATCAGGGTTTTCCAACTCCCCTAGGTGGTTACTCCGTGTCCACCAACCCGGTGTTCGTCCTCTCAATGTTGTAAACAACAACTCCACCGCGAGAAGACAGTAAGTAGGACTTTTCTGACAGTGGTTGTATGCACGTGGCCATGTGAGAGCATTCCGAGATGAATAGCTGACTCTGCTCACTCTCAGCTGTACCAGAGCATTTGGGGGAATTATATTAGTTGGATAATTTGTTTGAAATATTTTCAAGTTTCACTGAAGAAATTATGATTATAACATGTGAAAATGTATGGTTAGTAGTTGAAAAATCGTATATTAATACGTTTATGGATAATTTAAAACAATATGAACCTTTGATGAACTTTGATGAACCGATGTTTTATATTTTAAAAAACCTTACATAACGGTGTCTGAGAGTGACTTTCTAATATGATTAGACCTAAAAAATTAACTTCCAGTTATTAAATTCCGTTGTACTCAGTTGTTATGAATGGTATAAATGATTATATTGAATTAAAAAAGAACCAGTTTAATCATTTTGATATTTCAATTTGGGAGGCAAAATCCGACTCACACATCCGCGTCGTGCCTCCTGGATAATGAGACGAGTGACTCATGAACTAACG